GTGGATACGAATATGATTTCGGAAATTCATGAATTTATTTCATTGCGTTAACTAGATACCTTAAGCCCACGATAACGCTACAACAGACAAAGCAAATGGATAATGAATTTGCGAGTAGTATGCGAGACATCCCCGGCATATAATTTGGTAGAGAAGAGAATTTTTTCTAACTTATACGTGCGATACTTACCCTCGAGCAAGTTTTCATTCAAATCACTCTCAAATCTCACCATCGTGCTAAAATGCTGTACACTCTCGTTTTTTGAAACTTAAAACACTACCAACCTTGGTACTACATGTTGAAAAAATCGTTGGCGAAAAAATAGCAAGAACTCGAGTTTTTTCTCTGTTAATCAGGCGAAGTTTTCAGAAAGCAGCAGCTCTAATCAAAAGTGGTCTGGATGAAAATGTTGATCCATGCGAGGATTTCTACGCGTTTACATGTAACAAGGTAAGTCAGACTTATACCAGGCATGGATTTACGGCTTTGGTTTCAGTTCATAGCTAGTCACGACGTCAAGGAGCTAGGAGTTGGCAAAGTATCTGCTTCTAGCGAACTTCAGAATGAGATCTACACGGAAATAGTCAATAGTATGGCTGGAATAGATGTCGAAGATGAATCGAAGTCAAAAACGGAAAGAATAACAAAAGCGGTGCGTGATCGATAAGGTTTTGGTTAAATTTGCTATCACTGCAGATCACAATCAATCTACCTATCTTTTTCTTGATCAAAATCATTAACGTATCAATATCCGAGTATTCAAAAGCTTTACTGTTAAGAATTCAGGAATCGAAATTACATGGATTTTGATCTTAAGCTGTTGAAAAGTATACAAAGAAAGAAACACCGAAGTGCATTAGCTTTCGCTTACCAAAAAAGCCAAATTCATGGTATAAAGCTGGCTGATCGGCTATAACAAACACATCTGATACATATGTGTTGATTCAAAAGACTGTCCAGTTCTTTTTTGACAAAATTTAACGTCCCAGCGGTGCCGGTAACTTTCCAACAAAAATTGTTAAGCACATATTTTTCCGCCTGCGACTATTTTGCCGCAGCTATGACCGTGACTCAAATCAAATTGGGGCATATAGAAAACATACAACATATTCTCCAAGAGGCATAAGGTATTCAAATAAGCTCTCCTTCTGTATTATGATGTTTTTCTTGAAAGGAAATCAAATTTTCCAGCTTCTTGAGAGCTGCGTCTATCATACTACTGCAAAAGAGCCAAACAGTATAGAAGTATTTCTGCGCAAATTGGAAAGCTTGTAAGATGTTTATCGATTTTACTACCCTGATCAGGTTAATATCAACATCTCAGATTTGGAGGCATTCCATTCATCGGTCATCCTCT